GAATGAGGAAAACTCTTGTGCATTAAACTTTTTCAAGTAACTTGCGGCTTTTATAAAGTTTCTTGCAACAAAAAAATAAATAAATAATTACATAAAAACTATGTGCAACAGCCACTGACATTAATTTGGTCATATCAAATCTATGTCAATTAGCTGCATTCTGTTGTCTTTACTTTCCCATCTATTGGAGATTACTTGAAATTAGATTTGTAATTATGCCCATTAAACGGTTTGACATTGACTAGGAAAACAAAAATGTGTGCCCTGCTTTTACCTGACCTGGTAGAGGACACTGACCAAAAAAAGAAGTCACTCAAGTCAGCTGACTCTACAATCAATAAACTACAAATTCCCCTCCAAGGATATTTGCACCATGCAAGCCAACAGGTAAAGCCAACAGTAGGCTTGGACGGTGTAAAAGTATCAAAAGGTATAGGGCATTGAAAAATCATGACAGTATGACTTTCAATACTGTCCTAAATACAGCATTTACAGATGCTCCTTTTTTCAATCAACTGATGCTGTACTGTAGTGCGTATCTTACACCCCATTTACACCTGGCATTAACATAGGTCTCGTGTCCAGATTTTATGTGGATATATTATTAGGGTATAATTGTGTTTGTATCTAATAAAATATAATTACCTCTAGTTTTTGTCTAATTTGTTGCAAAGTATGTCTTGTTAGCCCTAATTATGATATAATTGTGTTTAATATCTAATAAATATAATTACCAATAGTTTTTGTCTAATTTGTTTTTAAAGCACGTCTTGTTAGCTCTTAGGATATAATTGTTTTTCTTTAGTGTCTAAATTGCGAACATATTTCTACCTAATTTGGTACAAACTATGGATTGTTACGTCTTATTAGAGTAATGTTGTCTATTTTCCTGTCTAATAAAGATTATATTAGGTGTAGTTTTTTCTAATTTGATACAAAATACGGCTTCTTACGTCTTACTAGCGTACTGTAAAATAAAGTGCTACCTTTTATTAGATATTAAACAATTATATCCTAAAAAGTGCAAACAAGACGTACTTTGCAACAAATCAGACAAAAACAAGAGGTAAAATATTTTATTAGACAATAAACAAACACCAACAAATCCCTTGTCGCCTGGATGGCTCATTCTCTGGAGTCCCATTTGTAGGTAGTAATACATAGCAACCCTTATTCAACCTGAACTAGATCTTATTAGAGGCTAATTAGGTATAAATTACAGCAAAACCGTACTCTAAATTAAAGTCTGCACCGTTAAACCTTATTCAACCTGAACTAAATCTTATTAGAAGCTAATTAGATATAAATTACAGCAAAACAGTAATGTACACTGAAGTGTATTATTCAAAGTTTTTAACAAATACAACAACCAATAAACACCCAACACCCCTTGACACAGGGGCTCCAGGGATGAAGAGTTAATGTTGCCTCCCGTCTTCTTCTTGCTGTAGCATGTTTTAGGTGTTCAGCTGCATGTCTTCGGACATTATCTGTTCCCTCTTTAAATGACTTCAGGACAGCGTCTGTAAAAGTTGGAAGACAAAAAGTGTTAGCAATGCATAAGCAATCTGTAAGCCATGCACTTGAGCACACTGTCTGCATAAATATATAGCTCCATTTGCTGCATAACAAAGCTAGAGAAACTACATTATACTACCTCAGTAAAATACACATGTTGAAAAGTGCTGCAACCAGCAAAAGAATCAAACATCTAAGATACTTTGTATGTCAGGGTTCAATATAACATTTCTTCCCTACTTCCCTACTATTTTCACTGGCCCAGCCGCTAAAACAATGAAAATAACTTTTTTTTAACCTAAGTTTTATTACTTTGATTTCATCTCACATTAATTTCATTGAAATGAATTCACATCAATTGTACACATTTCAGATAATAACAGATAACTAACAGACTAATCCTAATTTATCAGAGAAGAGAATTTTGGACTGTTGAAGCTGAAATATACATAGTGTGCCTGTATAAAAAGCAGGCTATATTAATTTTTCAGATATTTGCTTTCTAATTATTATTATAATCTTTATTATTATTACTGTTATCATCATCATCATCATTCTCATTATCTATATTACTCTTATTTTTATTACAACAACATTTTACATCTTCTCTTATTCATTAATGTAACTAAGTAGGCATTCTGGGCTTGTATGATCTGTGTTTTTCGGTGTACAACACTTGAGAATTATTTTGAAGAAACTTTTATTTGTAAGGATTGTTAATATTCATGTTCAGTTAATGTGGTAAATATTTTGTTAAAACAAAACTGTGCATTTCATTTCAATATTTGAGTTTGAGGTAATAAGTACACAAGTTAATTTCCAAGTAAAATGCTGTTGTATTAAAAGGGACTTCACTCCCCAGAATGCTCTGGGAGAGGCACGTATCACGTGGTGACATCAGTTAGCTTCTGTGTTAGCAGCCAAGCTGAAATACAGTTAAAAAACAGACAAGCTGTGTACTTCTTGTTTGCACAAGCTCACGTGTCTGTGGCTTTTGTCATTCACCAAAGATGAGGTTTGATTTTAAGTAGTGATGTTACGTGGTGTGCTGATGCTTCGAAGCGTGTGTCGAGTAATCCAGGAAGAGTTTCCGCGATGCGCCTATCGAGGCTTGTAGCGTTTCAGACGAGTGACATTGATGACGTCCGAAGCCTCGCTGCCCAGCTGTACCATGAGACTGGTTTGGGAAGCGGTTCAGATCTTGGTGTGAGGTCTGCACAGAAGTGACACAGAACACAAATATTACCCCTTTTGTCAATATTATATTATATGACACTACACCACAATACAATTTTTGGCCAAATTATTGGTTTATACACATAGGATGCATTCACAAAACAATAACAGTTTATTGTACATGTATTTGATACAGTATAGTCCTGATATAAAAATAAAAATAAATAAAATATAAAATAAAGTTATATGGTCATATATTTTATCATCATTATTATTATTATTTATCATTATTATTGTTATTATCATCATCATCGTAATCATTGTCATCATCATTATTAATAGTCATTCTCAACACCCATTACTGACACAAAATACCGTGTATCACAGATTACATGGTTAAGATCACAGCTGCCTGTCTTACACACTTTGGCCATCAGGTGGTTTCGTGTGCACATGAAGCCTCGAGAAATGAACCCTTTTCTGAACCAATTTGCTGGAAAGCTTCAATGCCTCATGAGGCTTCATCTCACCATCACTAATTTTAAGTCCAGGGTCTCATCCATTTTTAAGGTTTTAAGACGAAGCTGCGACAACTGGAGTTAACTACGTTAGCATTACCTAGCGTTAGCTAGCTAGCTTGTTAGCTCCGGCACACACCCTTATCTGAGCACACACATACAGCCTCTGAACTTCAACAAAAACACTGTACTTAATCAATATACTTAAAATTATTACAATGCACCGACTGCAATAATGTTTAGGTACTTACAGAACATTCTGGAGCTTCTTCGCCAGCCTCCAACCGAGACACATCAGACTCGCGATGACTGATGTCTTCATCTTCCTTCTTCTTCTTCTTCCTTTTGATATTTTATGGCGGGTGGCAACCAACGTTAAGGTGCATTACCGCCCCCTACTGTGTTTGGCCATCTTGTGTTGTTCCAATTCACGTTTGTATTTATCAATCTTTTCGTCACGGTCCTCCACAATGCTCTTGAGCCTGTCACTGGCAATTTTCTCTGTCATCTCCTGATGTAGAGTAGTCATCTCAGCGTGGATTTTCCCCAGCTTTTCATTTTCATGCTCAATCACTAACAACATCAAGTCCAGTGAACACTTATTCAAGACTTATTCAGACTTGACCAAGAGACCTACTCATTTCATGTCCAAAATTCCTTCTGGAAATTTTCCATGTCATAATTGTGTACACTGTTACTCTATGATCAAAGGTAACACATTTTCTCATCCAAAGTCCAGAGCTGACATTAAAGTCAGAGGCAGAATCACATGCAATACAAAATATGTGGTTTATCTGTTAAAATGTCCGTGTAATTTATATTATGTTGGTAAAACAAAACGTGAGTTAAAAACCAGAATTTGTTAACACAAGTGTTCCATTCGTAATAATGATGAAAAATCCTCCAATGCGAGACACTTTAATAGTCACAAACACACTGTAAGTGAACTACATTACATGGGCATTGAGATGGTTAACATGCCACTCAGAGGTGGTAACAGGGATAAGATCCTGCTTCAGAGAGACATATTGGATCCATTTCTTAGACACACTTATCCCTATGGGTCTAAATGAGGAAATCTCATTTGCATGTTTTTTATGAACTATGTGTAATCCTCATTAGGTTTATTTTTGTGGTTAATTTCTTTGTTGTTAATCCTTTTCTTTTGCATGGTCACGTGACTCAGTCACCAATTGACTCCCACTGCTGTGATTTACAAGCTACGTCAGTCGGGTTGATTCATAATTAAGCGCACCTGTGCGTGCTGTTGTATTTTTACATGGTCACGTGACCCAGTCACCAATTGACTCCCACTGCTGTGATTTACAAGCTGAGTCAGTCAGGTTGATTCATAATTAAGCACACCTGTGCGTGCTGTTGTATTGTTTGCCAGAGCACACTGAAGAAGGGCCAGACCCGAAACGTCTGTGTGGCAAAATAAAATTTGACAAACTTGGAGTGCTGTTCCTCTCATCTTTTTGAACTTTGCATTAGTTATTGACATTAGCTTCTCTTTAAGTGGACAAAAAGCCATACTCCAATCAATATTTAAATCTCCCAAGAAATAAATCTCATTCTCAAAATCACACACTGTATCTAACATTTCACACAAATTCTCTAAATAACCTATAACAGCATCCTATCAGCAAAGGTTTCAAATGAGGTAAATTAATTTGCAACCACAGCACTTCAGTATCAGCATACATCAAATCATATCTTACTTTTGCTGGTATTTGATTTTGTACGTACACTGCTACACCACCTCCATATGCATTCCTATCCCTTCTATAGACACTGTACCCCTGAATACCCACAGCTGCATCACTAAAAGTATTCCACATGACAGAATATCTTTTATTTCATTCACTTTATTTCTTAAACTGCAAATATTTAAGTGACCCAATTTTAACCCTTTCTTAGGTAACTTAATTGAAATCATTGTAGTCATTTATTCTATATTTCATTTCCACGTATTACTTTACATTCGGGAGTCATGACTAAACACACACATACAAATAAACACATAACATAAAAGTCAAACATACATAGACCCAAAACATGGGTCTGTCAACTAAGAACATAAGGGTAACTCCATCCTTAATAATTTCCTACTTAAATTAAGGTTATTTTACATAAAGCTAATGGCTCACTATTAGAGATAAACAAGAAAGCTTCAGCAACAGATAGGAATGTAGCCTTAAGTCTATAAAATATAATTATTTTATTCAATTCAACCATTCAGCCACCTTTTTGTTTTTCCACATTTTGTTTTCCCAGATGATAATCACTCTGTTTCTTCTTCATCTTCACACAATTTTCCTGTTCATTTTTTATTTATTTTTTTATGTGATAGTACTTATCAGCTCATTTTTCACCATTTGTTTTCTTTGTCTGTTTATCTCACCTTAACCGTGTCTGTTTAGAGACAAGTCAATTATGGTCCATGATTTATTGATTCTTTCTAGCCTTTATTCCCAGACTTATTTCCTTTGTGTAGTAATCCTCAGCTTCACCACAGTCCTTGAAAGTCTTGTCTGTCCATTGTGGGTGACGATAAGTGTGGCGGGGAACAAGAGTCCATGTCTACTCCATCCTTGTGTAATTTGGTCCTGAGATCTTTAAACAGGACTCTTTTCCAGGCAGTTTCAGGAGTTGTATCTGGAAATATTTTCACATGCATGTCTCTAAAAATGAGCTCTCCTTTTTTCCTCGCCAGCTTCACGATAGCCTCTTTCACTTCATATTTTTGCACTTCTACAATCATAGGTCTGGATCCACACCAGACATCGGGCTAATCTGGTGCGCTATTTCCACAGTTGGCTCAGATCCAAGTTCTCCTTTAAACCGCTCCTTGAAAAGTTTATCATGAAAGTCGTAGGATCACCTCTCTCGATGTCACTCTTCAGCCCAAACACACGCAGATTCAACTTTCTGCTGTGTATCTCCATTCTCTCCATTCTGTCTTTGTACTCTTTGTTTTCTTTAATTAAATTATTGTTTACAGCTTCTAGAGTAGTGACACATGAGTCCAGGCTTCCCAGCCCCTCTTCCATTTCACGGAGTCTCCTGTCATAGGAACTGAGTTCAGTTTTCAAAGCGTCAAACAGAAGCTGGAATTGATCAAAAGCAGCCCCAGTTTCTTCCCTCATTATGGAGTGTATCAGAGCAGGTAGCTCGGATTGGCTCACCTGCGAAGACTCGGCGTCCATGTGGCTTTCCAACACCGCTGTTTCACCTGGCATCTCTGTGGGGTACAGCGAACCGTTGCGGTGTGGCAGTTTCCTGGCCGCTCTCCTTTGGAATCTCTGTGGCATTTAACAACGCATCACTTTCAATATTCTGTTGCCACTGTTAAAATCACTTAATGTTCACATATTAACCTTATTTTCCCAAAGTTTTGACGAGGAGTTGACCCTACTCTCAAAACTTCACCAGCCACTTCCACACATGCGCAGCTTTGGAAAAAAAAAAAATCTTTATCTTTATTTTGTTATCTTGATTACGTTGCTGTGTCAGTCTGACATCCTGAATATATCCTTCAAATGCAGATTGTAGACCCTTCTGTCAGCTTCTGTCTGAAATCGCTTTTTTGTTTTTCCCAAAATTTGAGAGTATTTCTCCAGGGAGTACAGTTAGGGACAGTGGGAGCGCCATGCCAGTCTAGCTCCGAAACCAAAAGTTTGTCAGACTTTGTCAGCCTTAGTGATGGGTGAATTGGCTAAGGTCCACAGACTCCTTCTCCTTAGGAATGAGGACACCCCCTGCCCTACACCATGCTCTTGGGATAATTTGTTTCTCCCAAACTATTCTTTGCTGTTTCCACAAAAATTTAAGGATATCAGGTGCACTTTTATTAACCAAAGAAGCCTTTGCATGCCTGACCACCTCCTGAACTTCCTTCCACCTAGGTTATCCTGACATCCATCTCATGCTCTATCCCTCCTAATGGAGGGATGTCCGGTGGAAAACCTACTATCCTATTCTTCTCTAAATCTGAATATGTATTTCTCAAATATTCTTCAACCTCCAGCCTTGCTGCTTTGAGCTGCCTTCCCTTTTCCTGGCTAAACAATCCTTTAACAAACTTTAAAGGGTCTGAAAAAATCTGTCCTTACATATTCCTTCTTCCTCCTCTTTTTCCTGAGATGCTCTGCCCTTGTAAGAGCTGCTAGCCTGCTACTCAACTCCTTTTGAAACACATTAATTCCCTCCCTTTCTTCTTCTGTAGCCTTTTTCCACTGCTTTCTTAACTGTCTCCTATCCTTAACTAACTTCTCTATTTCTCTATGCCGCCTAGAATTACCTGACTGTACCCTCTCACTCCTCTTTCTCTCATGCACCCCAAACCTCTCTGCACCGTATGAGTAAATTCTATCTCCCATCTTTTCTAACTTTTCTATTGTATTTCCTCTAAGCCTACTTAAGATTACTGACAAACCTCTATTAACTATCTCCCATTCTTTACTGTCATTTGCCCTAGGCCATCTAACTCTAACCTTTTGCGCCATGGTTCTCTCTCTGACTGGCCTGCTAACCTCAGTGTCACCTGCATCCCCTCTTACAACCTCCTCCTCCTCCTACTCCTCAGTGGCAGTGTTACTAATATCCTGCGAAGTGTGGTTTTCTACCTGTTGCTGGTATTCATCTGACTGACTTGACTGACTTCTTAGGAAGTACTGATCAATGCGGCTACTCTGCCCTTTCTTTGCCACACACTTCTTCTTTCCCTGATGAGTTCTGACGCATTTTATTGATGTTACTTTCTGCCAGTTGCAAGGACAAACCTGAAGCATCTTGTTCTCGATTGTGCTATTTTTGTCCTCTACAGATGCGCTAGCCTTGCCCTGAGTGCTGCTAATTCTAGCCCTGGTGGATAGGTCCATGCCCCCACCCTTCACTGAGTCACAGATCCAATGCATAGTCGTGTCCGTTCCAGTGTCTGTTACTGTGTAATCCACCTGTGAGTCATTTTCCACCCCTGCTCTCGCTGACTCTTGGGGTATTTTCCCTATGTTGGCTGTAGCTAATTTTGGTTGTAGCAAGGTTGCTAGGCCTAACCACTGCTGCCATGGGTTGCTAGCCCATGCCAGCACCTTTGGGGTCTTTTCCTTCCTGTCAGCTGTCTTTCCAAGCGGCCACATGGTATTTCCCTTGTTGTCAGCTGCCCTATTCACAGCAGTCACTAGCTGGGCTAGCTCTGAGTTCAAATAAACACAAGAAATTTGTGCTCTAGAGAAAGGATCAGTGCTCAGTGAATAACCTCCTAAGCCCTATGATAAGCTATTATGGCAAGGCTTAACTATACAGACCATTGAGCAGTGATAACTACCACGTC